AGCGTTGTGGTGAGTACCGAGGGCTGATCAGACCCTCAGCTACACTTTGCGGGGGTGGGGGGGGTGATGAGGAATAAAAAGAGACAGAGACAATTTTCAAGATATAAAGAGGGGACCTGGAGGAGATCTGCCTCTAGCGGACAGACTTGAATAAAACTCCACGGTTGGGCAGTTTTTATTAGCCAGTGAGAAGCGCAGGGGAAGGAGTAGCACACATTTCACGAAAGAGCAACTATAGAGAATGGGTGGAAAAGGATTAAATTAATGAGGAATCAGATTTTTTTCTACACCCCAATGCCTGTATATTGACAATTGTCCTCAGGAGATGCTGTCTTGCCTCAGGAGTGCCAGGTTAGCAGCCTTCTGTCCATAGCCAGGGGGCTTGCAGCTTTCTGCATACTTCCCTGTCCAGGGCCAAGATAACACTGACACTGAGACTGTGAGATCTGAGTTACAGAGCCTAGTCCCCAACAACAGATTTGTCATTTGGCTCTTCTGCCTGCAGAGGTCCCTCAAATCAACCTTTAGGATGCCTGCCTGTGCCCCAAGCTACCTGTGTTGACCCTCCTGTTTTCTCAGTAGTCTTGGATGCTAATAACTCCCTTGAGGGGCAGGGTAAGTGAAAGGCCTATCTCTTCTCCAGTTTTTCTTGCAACAGTTAGGATAGCATTTGGCTGCTTTACCAGAAGCCCCAGACACCAGGAGCTTCCTAAATATAGAAAGCTGTTTCTCTTTTGTTTCACATTGGTGGTCTTAAGGTGGCCTACATATATCCAAGATCCAAGTACCTTTCATTTTTTTTGTTCTGCTTTCCTCGGCATGTGGCTTCCTTCTCCTGGCCCAGAGTGGCTGCTCTAACTCCTGCCATCTCATCCACATCCACTTCAGCCCCTTCTATCCCTGCAGAAGTCCTTTAAGAAGGTGGTTGTATAATCAGCCAATAAGCTCTTACTCTGAGGAGAACTGAACTAGTGGAAAACCAGCATTCACTGTTTCATACATATGTTAATATCCATGTACAAATGATAGTCGAGGCATAATTGATGGGGTAGAAAACTAGCAATAACAAGGTTCATCAGCTGGTTCATAGCATGGAAGGCTGTGGGGAAATGTGGGGGAGCTGGAACTGGGGAAGACATGGGCATTTCAGAGGAGATACAAAGTACTTGGGATATTCAGTGTACTGGTGCCTATAATCCCAGCACTCTGGGATCAAAATAAAAGGCTGGGGATGGACCTCAATGCAAAAGCCTTGGATTCAATCTCCAGTACTGTGGGAATAAAAAAAAAAGGCAGGCGGGAGGCTCAGGGCTGAGGCCTGGGGATCAGGAGTCTACATGGCTCCCCTGGTGATGCCAGGAGTGGCCAGGGTGGAGAAGCAGGCATTTGGCAGAGTGACCAAGGCCAGTCCAGTTGTGACTCAGGTGCCCCTTGGCCTTGCCCTTGAGGGCAAGGGCAGTGGCTGCCATTCTGGGTCTGCGCTCCCAGAGGCTGCCTTTCCTCCTGCAGTTCCCTCCTTTCCTTTGCTGGTTCCAAGATCCCTGGCAGCCGTTCCCTGCCATTTCCCTGGCCCCAGAAACACGGAGCACCTGGCTGCGGCTCCACACACTGCAGCGTGTGCAGTCCCCGGCTTCAGCTCCAGCCTAGGAGGGAAGTCAGAGGCCAGCGAGCCTCTCCCAGGCTTTGCTGTAACACAGTTTCCTCTAACGAAGGGTCAGAGGCTCCTTTCTGAAGGCTGGGACTCTCCTGGATTTTCTCCTGGACCCTTCGCAGGGTTGTCCTAAAACAGTAGCTTCCTTGGGCTAACCAGGGTCTCCAGCCCGGTGGTTGTCAGGACCACATCACACTAGGTCAGCAAGTTGTCTGCCCTCCTTGGGGGCCACGAGCAGGATACAGCAGAACACCCCCCACCCCCCGCAGTGGTATTTTTATTGATTATCTTGCTGTCTTCTGTATCTGATTATACTTCACTTTATACTAGATAACTTCGTTGTAGAAATAAATTGACATTATCTTAATAGGAGCAAATCTTTGTTTGCTTGATACCAGACACCTGGGAATGCCAAATCCTTGGGTGACATGAGGCTGAACTACGGACCATGTGTAGTTTAATTTTGGATCATTTTCCCTGTCATTTCATTCTGGATCACTCTTACTCTGAAGGCATATCTCTTCATCTTCCCAGTCTGAGGCAAGGTATTCTTTCCCAACTTCCCTCCTTTGATGGGGCCCAGATTCTCACTTTTGGCTCTCAGTCCTACAAAGCCACTGAAAGGGCAGCCCAGATTCTGCCTTTTCATGATTAGTCAACGTGTAAGAGCAAAAGCCATCCTTTCAGCTTTTCACAAGTCCCTAGATTCCTGGTCTTTCCTATTCTTAGCTCAGTAATTGCCCATGGTTTTGTTCACTGTGTTGTTCTTTAATTGTATGATATATAGTTAAATTATGGCTTCCATCTTTCTTAGTTGTCTTCCAGGGCAATGGCTGCTCTGCCTTACCTGGTCCACCATTACAGGCAGTGGAACTTCAGAGTGCCATTACTGCCCTGGCTGTTCTGTATGTCACCTGAGGGCTCCAGTTTATACTTGAAAATAGGTAGCTACCATTACCTGCATCCTACACACACACACACACACACACACACACACACACACACACACACACATTCTCCCACTGCTGGGACACCTGCCTTGCCTGCTTTCACTATTATTCTGCTCTACTCCAGTTAATGCAGTGTAGGCAGACCAGAAAATGAAAAGCTAGCCTTAGAAGTGCCAGTAATGTGGTGGATGGTGGTGCACACCTACCTATTAATCCCAGCACTCTGGAAGCTGAGCCAGGAGGAACGCCGTGAGTTTGAGACCAGCCTGGGCTACATAGTGAGTTCAAGGCCTGCCTGCACTACAAAGTGAGACTCTGTCTCAAAAAACCAAAAAGAAAATAAAAAGTGCCAGTAAGGAGATCATTTCTTTCCTGCATTCCATCTCCATCTCCCTCCATGGAGAAGAGAGGTCAAGCAAATGAATGGAGAGAACTGACTAAAAGTGCAACTGAAAGGGATTGTTAGTATCTGTTGGATTTTCAGTCACAAACTGTATGTACCCATTGAATACGAGGTGCTAGAAGGAAACCCAAAAGGGTGAGTGAATCAGCCTGGGCCAATACCAAGGAAAAACCACAGTGATTTGAACCAAAAAATTTCACATCTGAAGTATTAAGTCTAACAAAAAATTACCGAGGAATCTAGCTAGTAAGAAATAAAACTCTAAAAGAATATAGCAATTACAGCTGTAAGAAACAGGCACTGCTCCTAGGGCTAAGATAGGAGAGGGGCATACTGACAAGGGTTTCTAATATCAGGCAAAATAACTTAAGTACTATAAGGGAGGCGAAGGTAACCTGCTGTGAGTTCCTAGAAGAGTGACTCATTCTTCCTGGGGATATAGGAAAGTGTCTTGGTGGAGGAATTATTAGGGGAGATGCAGTACTGGAACAACTGTCAAGGGATGTGAAGAATTTCTGGATGGAATTGAGCTGGAGGTAGACTAACAGGAGCTATGTGCATGTGCTATGGGGGCTGACTGTGCAGATTGTAACTCTGAGCTAGGGCCACCCATATCTGTTGTTCCAGTTATTCAGGAGGCTGAGACAGGAGGATAGCTTGAGTGCGGGAGTTCAGGGCCAGCAAGGGCAACATAAACAGACCCTGTCAGAGAGAGAGAGAGAGAGAGAGAGAGAGAGAGAGAGAGAGAGAGAGAGAGAGAGAATAGAGTGTGCCAAAAAATGTGTACACACTTGAGGAAAAGAAAAATAGTATGATTTTTTTTAACAGATAGTATTATCCTCCTATGGGGGACCCTAGAGGATGCTGTATATTATGGAAAACTCACTACACTCCTGGCTCTTAGAGAAGAAACTGAAAATGCACGTGCAGCAATCTCACTGACCAAGGTTCCCCAAGCAGCAGTTCACCGTACTAATAAATGTCTGGAAGCTCATGGCCACCACTTTGAGCACCTCTTGTAATTGTACAGGCCAAAGGTAACTTGTGTTAATCTCATGATGTCTCAATAAGTTTAGTATTAAAATATTTATACAAATTTTTCTTTTCCTGAAGAGTGTGTATACATTTTTTGGTGGACTCTGTTCTCTCTCTCTCTCTCTCTCTCTCTCTCTCTCTCTCTCTCTCTCTCTCTCTCTCTCATATCCTCATGGTTTTGAGAAAAATAGTATCCTCCAAGCCTGTTTTCTCATCTTTAAAGTGGTACACTAATACTGACTTCTTATGGTGTTGAAGACACACTAAGATTGGACATATTAAGTGACTCATGCCTTACTTCGAAAATGGCAAACCAAGCTGCATAGCTGAAGAACAAGGTGATATGGTGGGATTAGTGGGCATCATTAGGGGCATATTTTATTTTATTTTTGACACAGGGTCTTGCTAAGCAGTGCAGGGTGACCTTGAACTCACTACGTAGCTTAGGCTGCCTTCAAACTCTCTACGACCCTCCTGCCTCAGCCTCCCGAGTGCTGAGATTACAGGCGTGCGCCACCACGTCTGGAACGGGGCATATTTTAAAAGCGGAATTGCTTTCAGATTTGTTCCCAAAGGCAACAATGGACGTGAGTACACAACCTGTAAAATAGGAAATTTGGACTTTCAGACTTTTAAAATGATACGTGTATTTTGGTAAGAGCGGAATTACACGGTTGGCTCCTGACTCCAGATGTAGACTATATGTGTATGAATATTTTTCATTTTTGCACATGGTATACCTTTAAAAAGCAGGCAGAAGCTCAGTGGCACCCCGGCTGCCTCGCAAGTGCAAGGTCCTGAGTTTGAGCCCCGGCACCGGAAAAAAAAAATGTAGGCAGAAAATGGGGGGAGGCCAACAGTGAACAGGTGAACGCCCCTGCCCTCCCCCACAGCATTGCGCAAGCGCACCGGGCATTTGCGCAGTCGCAGAACCCTTTGCTAGGTTTGCGCCCCAAAGCACTTAGTGTGCGTCGGCTCCACACAGCCGCTTTACACTCGCCGGGCCTCAAGCTCTCGAGCTACACACCACTACACCTCACAATGGCAGAGGATTCGCATCAGGATCAGGGTGAGGCCCCCCTTAGCTGTTCTACTGGCCTTTGCTTTGGAGTCTGGCAGGGCTCCGACGGTGCCTTCGGAGACAGCTTCGTGGGCGACTGCAGGGCTGGCTGGTCATTAGCCATAGCGGGCCCAGCTCGTCCATTGGCCGGCGGGGCTGTCTCGGGTCGGTCAGCGTGAGCATGGGAGCCCCGGTATTGGGGCGCCAGTGTGGTCCGGCTGTGTGCAGGGCTCCTTAGGGCCTCGAGGGGACTCTGGGGCTCGTGGCGTCCCCGTGGCTGAGGGGATTCTGGGATTGCGGTGATTCCCGCTCATGGTGGCTACGCTATTCGAGGCAACCCCTGCGGCTCCCGGGTTCATGGCGGCCATGCCGCTTGCTGGAGGTAACCGTGGGGCGCATGGCGTCCCCGTGGCCGAGACTAGACTAGGGGGCGCGCTGGCTCCCGGGTTCATGGTGGCCGCGCCGCTCGCTCGAAGTAACC